GTAGTGTCACCAAGAAAGCAGACAATTTGGAACAGGAAGCAGCTCACTGACTGTTGGGGATGGAGTAGAAAACATGCTGGGTAAGCCCAGGCGAGATTGCTTTCTTAGAAGTGGAGATAAGAGAGATGAATTAGGGTAGCCACAGAGGCGAAAGGGGGCCTGGTTTCAGTGTTTGGGGTGAGTATTTACATATTTGAAATGGGTGGAAGAAATTTGCTGGCACTTGAAGATAAGAGGGAAGAAAACAGCAGAGAGGGACAGCTCGAGAATGAGTGCAAACGAGGACAGACCTCACTTCTCTCCCTTTGCGTCATGCAAGCTCTGCACCCTTGGGCGATTTCCTGTCTCCATCCCTCCCCTATAAACATGCACAGAGGAAAAGGTGAGCCACACATAATGTGTCTCCTAGTTCTAAAGTAATGATTATATTCATAATTCCGGGGCTGGTGAGACAGCTCATGCTGTAAGGCATTTGTCTCACAAGTGTGTTGGCCTAAGTTTGCATCCCCACAAGCCACATTAAAGAGTTGGGTACATGGAAGCTGGAGAGATGGCTCAGAGGTTAAGAGCACTGACTGCTCTTCCAGAGGACCTGAGTTCAATTCCCAGCAACCATATAGTGGCTCGCTATCATCTATAATGAGATCTTCTGGCCTGCAGGGATACATGCAGACAAAACAGTGTATACATAGTAACTACATCTTTTAAAAAATGAGTTGGATACATTGGTATGAGCTGAGATGGAAGGCAGATCACTAGATGCTCCCAGGCCAGCTTGCCTGGCTTAAATGATGAAACTCACTGCACACAAACGAGAGACCCTGTCTCAAACTGTAGGTGGAAGGCACCTGAGAACAGACACAAGACACTTCTCTGACCTCCACACAAGCACTGTGTGTTTGCACCCACCTCCCAACACACCCCTGCTATTCTTTTATCTACCATTTTCAGTCTTCAGTTATCTAAACATCACAGTGAAGGTAAGGGTATTGAAATAAATTTCTTTGAAATGGAAGATGAACTTGGGACCGTCTATCACTAAAGAATGTAGACTACACATGAATGGTATATGAAAACAATGTAGTCTCCAGCGAGTATGCAGTTGACTTTTTAAGTCACATGTCTCCCTTCTACCCCAAAATTAGTGGCTCCAAGAGTTGAGGTTCACCTGCTGTGCCAAAGTTGAATCTTCATATGGGTCTGTCAATATTTTTATTCATGAACCCCAGGAGATGTGGTCCTGGCACAGCCCTACTCCAGACATATGTAAGCATTTGGGCTCACAGATCATATGTAATTAGCCTCACTGGCCGATTACAATCAACAATTTGAATGTATGTGAAGATATTCAAGCAGGATAAATTAGCCAGTAGACACACTGAGAAACGTTTTGTAATTTACAGTAAAGATCTCAGTTTACATCATGAAGGCTCAGACTGTGATCTTCACAAGCTACGTCATAACTCAACATTCTTGCTAATGGAAGCCACAAACCGGCGTTCACAAAGCTCTTGACAGGCTTTTTTGGTGCCTGGCAATGGAGAGGAAATGTAACTTTATTCATCTCCTCAATGCAAAGACAACTGGACAATGCTTCCATCATTTTCCCTGCATCTGGAAGACTGTCTATGGGCAGCTTCACAGTCATGTAAGTACCTTTGTCATGAGTGGCCTTGGTAATCAGAGAGTAAACACCGGTTTGCTGCTACTTACAATGACATTACAATGCAAAGACATTACCAGGCTGGTTCCGTCCTGCTAATCTCAGACTCGACAGTTACAGAGATAGGTCAAAGCCAAGGACAAGACTACTGAAAGAAGAGTCTCCATAAGTGAAACTTGGCAAGCATGTCCCTTCATCTAAACACCATTTGGGACCCCACTCAGCACAAGCTTTGAGCTTCTCCATTCAGGATGACCACTGCTAAGCACTATGACGTCAGACCGTCTGACCTCTTCTCTTCCCGTCCCTCTCCCACCACATTTCCACACTCAGAGAAATGGATGTAAAATGAGGAGGATTCCATCTCCATGACTACTCTTTAGGTTAAGAGCGTTGCTGGGAGGAGAATTAGGGATGTGTGGCTAGAAGGCAAAGATGAATGGCCACTGCATCTCCATCTCCATCTCCTCCTACCATGCTGTCACTCGTTATTACTGAAGATGGAGAGCTTGGCTAAGAAGAGGCATTACCTGGTCCCTGCCCCACTGAGGGCTTCTTTGGGCCTGACTTTCTGACTCCAGCTTGCTGCCAATGATGTGTGGCTTGCATTCAATTTGTTCAGACTCTTGGTGATTTTAATTAACCGATTGCCTTTCCAAGAACCAACATCAAATACTCCTGTGATCTTTCACGGTGAAGCAGAAACCACTGAGTAGTGAGGACAGGAAATAGCCCTGCCCCCAACTCCTGCTGGCTCTGCTGAGCCAGGGCCAGAAACACCCCATAAACTGTTGGGTAGTCATTTATTAGAAATAATGTCATTGAAATGGAAGTTGCCACGGTACAGTGGCCTCCAGCTGAGCCCAGACTACTGGGGAGAATAGGGACATTGCTGTCCAGATCTCCCCTGAATCCAAGTCACAATAGTAGCCTGCCTTCAAGTCACTTTGACAGTCATGAGGCACAACAAATAAGGGGGTGATTAGCTTACAAAGATGATTCCAGTAAGATTGCTTTTTAACCCCATTGGGTGAATGTTGCAGAAACATTCGGGTCAGAAGATGAAGGAAAATGACTTAATCTCTCTGCCACACACGCCCATAAAAGAAAGAAGCAGCAAGAAACATTGCATCATCCAGATTCCAAATCCTTGGTTACTGCAAGCAAACACACCAGCAAACCTGGAAGAAATTCTGCCTGAGATCTTGGCTTTCCTGCCAAGGGGAAAGTGTGGCTCATGAAGTGGACAGCTTGTAGTTCTTTTTGCCTGACGTCATCTTAGGGAGCTGGTCAGTTGGGCATTCCAGTTCCTGTGATATGGATTTGGATGAAACCAAGTATGTGGTTTTGTTTTTAAGTTGTTCTGGAAGTCCTGTTACTCAACAGCTCAGTCTCTAATCTGCAGACTATGGGCTGACTCATCAGAAGTTGTGCCATTCCCCCCTGCAATCCCTCATCCTTAGATAGGTAAAATGTGAAATTGCACACTCAAATGAAGTAGTGTGTGGGGCTCAGGGTTCCCAGTGGAATCCTGCTCTTTCCCCATCCACATGAACTCAGGTAAGTGGAAGGTTCTGAACTTCAGATTTGACACTCTCAGAACAAATAACAATACAGCATATCTTAGTTACTTTGCTATTGCTTTCATAAGACACCATGACCAAGGTAACTTAAAGAAGGAAGGGTTTATTTGGGGATCACAGCTTCAAAGGGTTGGCTAGAGTCATGGCCATCATGGAAGGAAGCAGGGCAGCAGGCAGGCAGATTTGGCACTACAGCTGAGAGCTCACATAGGATCTATAAGACACACACACACACACACACACACACACACACACACACACACACACTGGGGATAGCAGGAGTCTTTTGAAACCGCAAAGCCTGACTCTAGTGAAACACCTCCTCTGACAAGACCACACCTCCTGAAACTCCCCAAACAGTTCCACCACCTGGTATCAAATACTCAAACACAAGAGCCAATAGGATTCATTCTCATTCAAACCACCTCCCCCCATTGGATTCTTCACAGTAGCCACCCAACAAACCCCTCAGAATATAGAGGTTGGAAATAGCGGATGTGCATTGCATCACATATCTGCTGAGGGTTAGGGTCCAGGTGGCTCCAAATGACAACCTCTCACATGCTGACCTGGGTCTGGAGGCACCTGAGGCTCCACTGGGGCGCACAGGCCTGCTTCTAAGATAAACTACTCACGGGACTATGAAGCTGAGTCCCTGACCCTATCTCCTGGCTGTTTCCATGGGTTATTTGAATGACTTCCTGACATGGCAACAAAGTCTCTTCCAATGACTTTAGGACATAGCAACTACCCCCCCAGGGTAAGTAAGCAAGAGCAAAGAGGTAAAACCTGCACCATCACAGACTTGGCAGTGGCTAAGTAGAGGGTAAATAGAGAATTCTCCCTTAAATTCAGTTAGAGGTCAGTCTGCCTTATTTCACAAGTACCTTTGCAATCCACTCTTAAGTAAGGTACCCCTTTGTCCCTTGTAGTTATCTCATTATGACACTAGGTGGCAGGCGAGGACAAGGAAGTTAAAATTTATTAGTCTAAGGAAAGCTAACAAAGGCTGGAGCTTCTAAGTAAACCATCTTTAGATAATGATGGTGTGACCTCATAAAAGTTAGCAGGTAAAACCCAGAGGAAACTAGACCAGTGACCTTACAGGTAACACACAGACAAATCTTTAAGTTAAATCACATTCAAATCTACACTCAAATCAAATTCAAATCGGCACTCCTAAAAGCCTCTCATATGTAGAGCTCACCCCAGCAAGTTTTGAATAACTCATTTATGGTGAAACTATCTGTGCCAATAAATGCTTTTCTCCTAGATGGCGTCTGAAGTCTCTCCAGCAGCCTCCAGAGGTTTACTGGATCCACTTTTGTAAAGTGGTGTGCAAACTCAATGTTTGCTGTTTGGGGCTGTGGCTTTCCTGGCAAGTGTTGATGACACAGAGGAGAGGTCCCTACCTGAGGGTGCAGATGTGCTAAAATGTAGGACACAGAACTGTGCTTGCGTGGATTAGGACACCGAGGCCACTTCCCCAAGTCGACCTGAAATGCAGGACATGCAGACCAGGTTAGGAAGCCAAAGGTTAGGAGCACATTCCAAAGACAAAGAGGCAGACCTCACACCTGAGGTCAGCCAAATTTAAGGAAAGCAACCCACACCGCAAGAAAGGAATCTGGCAGGGGCAGGAACAAATGACAAATGTCCAGCTTACACAGATGGATTTCTTCTGGGCAGTTTGCCCACTTCACACATCATAAGGCATTCAGGGGAAAGCAATGTGCTCCTCAGTCCAAAGTGTCTACTATTAAAATTTATTTAAAAATAAGCATTTTTGGGGGTTGGAGAAATGGCTTAGCAGTTAAGAACACTGGTTGCTTGCCCAGAGGAGCCGGGCTCACTTTCCAGCATCCCTTGGGTGCTCACGACCATCTCTGTAACTCCAGTTCCAAGGGATCCAAAGCCTCTTCTGGTCTTCATGGGTACCAGGCGTTTACATGATGCATACATGCAGGCAAAACACATACTTAAAAATAAGATTAAAATGCTTATGCTAAAAAAATAAACAGCTTTCATAAGACCCTGAATTCATAAGGATGGAATGTTCCCAAAGAGATAAACTCACCTCATCTCAAAAACAAACAAACAAACAAAAACAAAAAAAGTCCAAACTATAAGAAAGTTAAAAAGCAATTTTTGTGCCTTCATTTCAGGGCATGAAGTGTCATATCACAAAATTATAATCAAATGCGGAGCACTGGAGTTGATTAGTTGGCAGCCATGGATCTACACACCTGAGGCCTTACAGCCACCCAAATCCCCAGGGGCACCTGTCTGCCTCTTTGTCCCCATTCAGTCATTTGGAAGTGCAGCCTTTCACTAGGGGAGCCCGGCAGCTGCCATTGGGGACCCTGCTCCATTCACATGTAGCAGACCTCAGTTGTTAGAAGCAGCCAGTTTCAGGGAGCCTCAAATGCAACTTTCTGGCCAGCCAGTGCCCTGGGGGAATCCCCTGGCCTTCCCCACTTACCTGAACTGACTTTCCCTCCAGCTGCAGGCTCTTTGGAAAGCCAATGACCTTCCTCTTGGTTGCCCATCAATGAGACAGGAAGCACCTTGCAGAAGCAGGGGCCGAAGTCCAGCTCTGCAGCGTAGTTAGTACTGGCTGAGGCCCGGCTTCTCTGTTTGCTCTAGCTGGTCCCCTCCACACCAGACTTTTCAACTTGACAAGTAAATCTGCAGATTTGCTTGTTTAAGGTATGCCTCCATGGTCCTGCAGAACATTTACAACACAATGACACTGTTGGTGGTGAGGGGGTGGAGACACCCCACAACACTGCCACTCCTTGAGGACCAGAGGAATTCATTAGGGACCTCAACTCAAGTCAAACCAGAATTTGTCATTTTGTTGTTGAGAATCACAGGAAAGGCCAGGTTATTTCGGAGACTTTATTAAAGGTTTTTAAATATATGCTTAAGCATGAGTATTAAGAAAGGGACATTCAAGAAGATACTCCCACATGCTATGGTCTCCAAGATAGAGGAGGGGAATGTAAGACATACCCAAGTTCGAGTGCAGGCTTCCAAGGGAGTAGCACAGTTCACTGTCTTAATATTAGCCAATAAACACTTTGGGTGGCTCTTAAATTGCATCTTAGAAGTCTGCTAAGAAATCTTCCCCCCATCCCTGTGTCTACCTCTCCCTCCCTCTCTCTCTCTCTCTCTCTCTCTCTCTCTCTCTCTCTCTCTCTCTCTCTCTCTCTCTCTCTCTCTCTCTCTCTCTCTCTCTGTTGCTAAGTGAGATAAGTAAGTTGGAGTTCTAATCTGATAAGGTTAGCCTAGGGCTGCACAGGGTTAGTGCCTGAGCTTTCCCTGTAAATGGGGCTTCTGGTGAGATTCCTAGAAAACTTCAGGTCCGGCTAGGAAACAGGAGGGGGCCTTGAGCATCTAAGAGCCTGCTGGGAATCCTGCTTCTCTCCTGGCAGGAGGCTTTGGCAAGACTCTAGGGTGAGGTGCTCCTGCCTCTTCATAAGCCACCCCAAGCCTCCCTGTATTTCTAGCCTGCCTCATACAGAAAAGAGAAAACTGTGTCAAACTAACACTCCATATTTGTTCCAGCAAACTTGACCTGGTACAACCACGATGGTGACATGCCTGTGGCAAGACAGACCGGTGAGGAGAACTGTCGAAGGACAGTCACCTGCCTCCACCTGTAACTAAATGAAAGAAAAGCTGGAAGGACGGACGTAGCTGTGTCATTCCCAAGACCCAGAGAGTCCCCAAGCTGTCCTCAGGTGCCCCACCTTCTGAGAAAGGAGCACTATATCCTGAGTCTGGGAGACAGCAGGTTGTTTTTATCCTGGTTATGCCCAGTGTCTTCTCGTTTTTAAAGGAAAATAGGATAACATAGAACACTTAGAATCCTAAGAGAAAGGTTGCTTTTGGCCTTAGTGACATCATGACATCACAGGAGCTTAGACAGCCTTTAGAGCTCACAAGTGTGCAAGCTGGGACCAGAAAAGTAAAGTGACCTCCTCCTGCCTGGAACAGCAGCCTTTCTCAGAGGCTCTGAGACTCAACAGTGAGAGATGCTTGTATGAACCCTACCACTGAATGGTGTGGTGATTTTCTTCAGCTGAAACTCAAACCCAGGTGTTCCAGTGGTGAGCACCACCTCCAGAAAGGGAGGAAAACTCGCCATCCACTCCAGCAGAAACCTCTGTACACAAACATCCAAACGTTTTCCTCCAGCGACCCTGCACCCACAGCCTGGGCTGTGAAGGCAGTGCCTTCAGAGAGGTTGTTGGAGACTGTCTTCTCGGTGGCTTTGCAAAGCCTGCTCCCCAACATCTAGTTCTGGGGGCCCCTAGACCAATCCTTTTGTCACTCTCTAGACAATCCTTGCAGTCTCCTAGAGAGGTCTGCTGTCTACAAGTGCTCCGTCTAGTCGCTATGTGTCTTTCAACTTCAGTAAGTGTTGCTCCAGGGCCACTGTCCATGGATACCAGAAAAACAGAGTAAATTAGGGTTCAGGAATAGTTTGAGAGACCAGAACAAGTGCCTGGATCTTCCTAGGTGTTTGCATTTCTGACAGCTGAATGGGGCCAACCTCATCTTCAAGCCTCTACTTGGCTTCACAAGACAGCCCGACCTGGGGACCTGGGCACAGCTACACAGGGAAGGAGGGAGAGGGAGAGTGGTTCTTGCTTTGTTCTGTGTCTCACAGAAACCTGACAGCATGGGCACTGAATCACACTAGTTATGCCAGCAGGCCACAGTCAAGGAAGCTGATCTAAAATTAAAAGGAAATGAGAGACTTCACAGGATGAGAAGAGACCAAATGAATTTGGCATAAGCTATTCCACCGTATCAATCCATTTCCTCTCCCTTGGGTGTCAATGGGAAAAATAAACCATGCACTTCAGAGTCAAGTCACAGCTCTGCTGCGGTGCAGCCAGCATCCTCTGAGGTTGGCAGTGTGAAGCAGATGGCACAGCAGGGAGATGCTATGGCTCCTGCCTGGGCTATGGCAGAAATGGAAATGTCAGAGAGATGGCATATTTACAGCATGGTACAGAGAAAGATAATTTGGCAAAGTTGGTGTTTCCAGTTGGTTGAAGAGAAAGGACCCATGGCTCATGTCAATCATCCTCAAAGAACTGGTCAAGATGGTTTCTAACGAGTTGTTGAGACTAAGACAGATAACAGGCAAGTTCTAAAAGTTAATCACTTGTCTGAGTTCTAAGGAGCCTGATGGCTGGAAGCAACTTCAGCGGTGTGGCTTCTCGTGGGTCCAGGTACAGTTGCCGGGTTTCATAGTCACCTGTACCTTGGTTGGATGCAAAGTCAATGAGCAGCTGACCTGAGCTATCACCATCACAGGCCTCAGACACATGAGCTGGACCAAGCTTTGCCATTGGTCCTTTGGGCTTGCCAGGTCTTTCACGGTCGTACTCAAACTGAGTTTATCAGAAAGACAGGAGAAGTGAGTGCAGGGCCCGGAGCTGGTAGAGTGCTTGTCTAGTAAGCACAAGGCCCTAGGTTTGGTCCTCAGCACACTGTAAACCAGGCCTGGTGGCAAACACCTGTACTCAGCACTTGGAAGATGGAGGCAGGAGAACAAAAAATTCAAGATCATCCTCACGTGCATAGGGAATTCGAGGCCAGCACAGTCTATATGAGATTCAGTGTCTACTCCCTGCTTACCTGATAAAGGAGTTGACTGTGGCGCATCAGCTGTAAGTGTCCGTGAGGGGCTGGCTGTGACTTGCAGTGTGGGATAGTGAGCCCTTCCTTTTCAACCCTGTGGTCGCTCTTCTCTTGCTGGCTCTCTGCCTTCAGCAGCCTCAAGTGCTGCTTGCTCACTGTCGTCTGACCATCCCGGACACCAGCCTTGTGCTCCAGCTCAAGGGTGTGGCTCCTGCTACATGATCCATCTTCCAGGTAACTCAAGATCATGCCTTAAAGTCACTGCCCAATGAAGGCCAACTTCCTGGACAACCATCCCTTTCTCCCACAAGGCACTGCACCAGCCACATGGCAAGCATTCAGGAAACACATGCTCATTCTTTCACATGAAAGGACTCTGATAATGTTTTCGGCCTGCTTCCCAGGATCACAGTTGATTTTTGAGAAGAAAACCGTTTCCATTCTGCAGATTTATGTAAAAGCTAATGAACAGATCCTCAGTTTCATCCTTGGTTCCTTGTAGACCAGGTATGGTGGCACAACCTGTACTCAGTACTTGGAAGGAGGAGTCAGGAGAATGGATGATAAAGGTCTTCCTCAGCTGCAGCCTGGACCTCGAAGGATGGAGCAAGACTCTCAGGTAGGTGTCCAGAGAGGTCAGAGCAGAGCGAGCAAGGGGCAAGAGTTCAAAGGGAGAAAGCAAGCCGGGCATTAACATGCAGGGTCCTTGGAGTTAAAGCGAATGGCAGACTGTCTCACACTGCAAATACATTTCCTGAATTTGCAGCTTTCCCATGTGCTCTTCTCCTCCTCTTCTTTCTCTCTCCCACGCTGTCTTCTCTCTTTGCTTCCCCCTTCCCTCTGTCTCTCCCTACTTCTCTCCTTCCTTTCATGTCTCTCCAACAATTCACCAAACAGCCAGAAAGCAGGTGCCTTGGTATTCTGAGACAGTGTCTGTAATTTCTGACCCAAACTCTTCTCCACCAGTTGGCATCTATGTAGAATTCTAAGCCTGTATACCAGACGAAATGGATGATATAGTAAAACAATGAGGACAAATGGTTTAAACCGGAAGGAAGTGAAAACTGAGAGAACGATGGAGGTGTATCAGGAGGCCACAGGAGTTGATCCAGAGCTCCTGTTATCCACACAGAGATGACAATGTCATGGTAGCAATGAACTGTCACCTACTGCGTTGTAAGATGCACTGAGCTCATGCTGATATCAGTAAATATGTGATTGAGTGGATTGATGCAGGGAGGGAAGGCTCTTCCTGCAGCAGAATGCCAACCAGTGCCTATGGGAGGCATGAATGAGTCCCAACTGCAATATCCTCAAGTTAGAGAGCGGGATGTGATGAGAGAAGGTAAGTCTATTACTCCACAAGTGACCATTTCATTTTTGTAGTTTAAGACAGAGTCCCGCCAGGCAGCCTAAGCTAATCTCCAATTCCTAATCTTCCAGCCTCTGTGGCATCACCACGCCCATTTCATGAATTGCTTTTTGTTTGTTTGTTTTTCGAGACAGGGTTTGTCTGTATAGCCAGGGCTGTCCTGGAACTAGCTCTATAGACCAGGCTAGCCTTGAACTCACAAAAATCTGCCTGCCTTTGCCTCCCAAGTGCTGGGAATAAAGGCATGCACCACCGCTGCCTGACTGGAGAATTGCTTTGTAATTATAAAGGTAAATGCAGTAACTTCCAGAAGAAATTCAAGGCCTATACCCTCAGCTTAATAGGCTCCCATCGTTGGAGAGTGAATAAATACAGGTCGAATGAAGCTTTAAAACTGACAAGAGGCTGCATGAGTAAGGGCTTTAATTAAGTCAAAACTGAAATAAACACTGGCAAGCCTGCAGGTTGAAATGAGGAGTGGAATAAAGCCAGTTGGCCTACAGGTAGCTCTTAATCCTGAACTCTTTCTCAAACCCATCTTGACATTTCTCAAAGCAATTCTGTGACATGGGTAAATTATGGCTGATATTACATATGGGCACAGGAAGCCCATGGAGTAAGTCACTTGTCCCAAGTCACACAATGGGTCCAGGACTTGGCAGTGTGCTACTAGCAGCCCAGCCATCCCACCG